CAACACGCACACACACACAGCGTCTGATGCAGGAGAACACAAATAATAATCCATGCACACTGGAAATAAATAAATAAAGAGCCCATATGCAGACCACAGTGACTGCATCACAAACTCATGACGGGATGAGAACTAAAGCATCAGCAGGGCATGATGGGAGACCGTGAGAGTGAAAGAAGCTCTTACCTCTATCATGATATGAAAGGCGTGCTAGCAAGAGAGGAACATAGGGGTTTTACTGTTTCTAGCACACACACAAGCGCTGGGATGTGAGGAAGAACGAGCTCTAAACACTGATGTGTGTCTGTGACAACATATGATGGATTCTCATGTGCCACAATGAGACACTCACATGGAAATGGTACGTTACAACCAATCAAATCTCAGCGCTGGTTAATATGGACCAATCACAATGCTTTGACTCAGTACACAACATGAAGATTGTTAAAAATGTATTTTATAGAGATTTCTGGGATGGCATGAATCCTTCAGATTAACAGATTTATTCTTTCTGGTGTATAAATGTCTGTAATAGGACAATAACAAAAAAAAAATACTGAGATTTGAATGTTGCTCGATCAATCCCTCTGGAATAAGAAAATGTGGGTAGAAACAAGCTAGTGAAACACTGAAAAATATTTCCTTATTTTGTCATTTTGTCTTGTTTTCCAGTACAAACATCGAAGCTTTCTCAAAACAAGATTACTTGAGACAAGGTTAAAATTAAACCCATAAAAACATCTTTATTACTTAAATGAAATAAACATTAACTGACATAAAATAAAATAAAAATATATAAAAAACTCTAAACTTTTTTATTTTAACTAGTTGCCAAGGCAACATTTCTCATTTTAATTTAAAGTCGAAGCACTAAAATAACTAAAACTTAATAAACTAAAACGAAAAAACTAAAACATATATATATATATATATATATACAGTATATATATACATATATATGGACACATTAAAAAATCTTAAAAATGACAAAAACACAACAAAATTACTAAAACTTTTTAGTAAAATTAAAATGAAACAAAATAAAATTGATTCCAAAATATTAAAAAAAGGTATACTTAAATAACACTTGGGATGCAAAATGCAAAAAAGACAAGATATTAAAGACTGGTTTTTCATATCTGCCAGTGGGGTCAGAAAAATACTCCGTTTTGAAGTAAGTTCATTTTTCTAACCCCACTGGCAGAGAAAATACAAAATACAGTCAAAAAATACAGTGAGAAAATCACCCTGCAGTGAAACATTTGCCGCCCAATGGTAGATTAATTGATAGTTGTTATTATGAATGAGTAGCACAAAAACACATGGATACTCATTAATAACTGCGCACTGTTATGTGAAAGATTCCCAAACTCTGCTGTTCTCCAGAAAACATCTTCAGATATTTGTCTTGAGTATAAAGATGATATTGAGATGAGGTACAGTACCTGTGACGGCACGAGCAGCGGCGGGTACGACAGCTTCAGATGATGGTACATCCAGAACGAGATGACGAGAATAATGACAGCCATGGCGGGAATCAGAGAGTACAACAACGTGGGAAACAAGTCCGGCTTCGGGGGGACGGGGTTAGACGTGGCTGGAGAGAGAGAGTAATTCACAAAAAATTACTCAAAAATTTGGCTCAATAAGATTTTTCTTTTTTTTTTTTTTTTTGAAAGAAATGAATACTTTCATTGAGCAAGGACTCATTAAACTGATCAAAAGTGACAGTAAATTCATTTATAATGTTACAAAAGATTTCTATTTCAAATAAATGTTGTTCTATTGAATTTTCTATTCATCCGTGAATCCTGAAAAATAAAATGTATCACGGTTTCCACAAAAATATTGTGCAGCACAACTGTTTTCAACATTGATAATAATCAGAAATGTGTCTTGAGCAGCAAATCAGCATATTAGAATGATTTCTGAAGATCATGTGACTCTGAAGACTGGAGTAATGATGCTGAAAATACAGCTGCGCATCACAGAAATAAATTACAGTTTAACAGATATTCACATATTAAACATCTATTTTAAATTGTAATAATATTTCAAAATTTTACTGCTTTTTTTCTGTATTTTTTGGTTTGATTTCAGAGAAATTAAAAGAAACGTGCGACTTTGCCATCACAATTTTTGTGCATCT